TGTAGGGTGTGTTTTGAGCGAAAAAAGGTATTTTACATATTTATGCCATATTTGTATGATTTTTATGCAAATAATATGTTTTTGTTTTCCTTTCGAAAGTAATGGGAAAATTGAAAAATAATTGTCATAGATTTAAGTGTTGTTTATGACTTGCTAAAAAATGTTTATGAAGTCTTTTAAATGTGGTTGTTTTTTAAAGGGGGATATGACAGGAATGTTATGAATTTAGGTTAGGAAAAGGTAAAATTAAAGTTTTTTGCAGTAATAAAAAAACGACAGAATATTCAAGATTTCAGTTTAAGAGAGTTTAACTAACCCTATTCTAAAACCAAGTGAACTAGAGCTGAACTAGAACAGAACTAGAACAGAACTGGAACAGAACTGGAACAGAACTAGAAAAGAACTAGAACAGAACTAGAACAGAAACTAGAACAGAACTAGAACAGAACTAGAACAGAACTAGAACAGAACTAGAACAGAACTAGAACAGAACTAGAACAGAACTAGAACTGAACTAGAACTGAACTAGACTGAACTAGAACTGAACTAGAACTGAACTAGAACTGAACTAGAACTGAACTAGAACTGAACTAGAACTGAACTAGAACTGAACTAGATGAACTGAACTAGAACTGAACTAGAACTGAACTAGAACGAACTAGAACTGAACTAGAACTGAACTAGAACTGAACTAGAACTGAACTAGAACTGAACTAGAACTGAACTAGAACTGAACTAGAACTGAACTAGAACTGAAACTAGAACTGAACTAGAACTGAACTAGAACTGAACTAGAACTGAACTAGAACTGAACTAGAACTGAACTAGAACTGAACTAGAACTGAACTAGAACTGTACTAGAACAGAACTAGAACTGAACTAGAACAGAACTAGAACTGAACTAGAACTGAAATAACTACAAGAACTGAACTAGAACTGAACTAGAACTGAACTAGAACTGAACTAGAACTGAACTAGAACTGAACTAGAACTGAACTAGAACTGAACTAGAACTGAACTAGAACTGAACTAGAACCTGAACTAGAACTGAACTAGAACTGAACTAGAACTGATCCTAGAACTGAACTAGAACTGAACTAGAACTGAACTAGAACTGAACTAGAACTGAACTAGAACTGAACTAGAACTGAACTAGAACTGAACTAGAACTGAACTGAACTAGAACTGAACTGAACTAGAACTGAACTAGAACTGAACTAGAACTGAACTAGAACTGAACTAGAACTGAACTAGAACTGAACTAGACTGAACTAGAACTGAACTAGAACTGAACTAGAACTGAACTAAAACTGAACTAGAACTGAACTAGAACTGAACTAGAACTGAACTAGAATTGAACTAGAACTGAACTAGAACTGAAATAGAACTGAACTAGAAATGAACTAGAACTGAACTAGAACTGAACTAGAACTGAACTAGAACTGAACTAGAAATGAACTAGAACTGAACTAGAACTGAACTAGAAATGAACTAGAACTGAACTAGAACTGAACTAGAAATGAACTAGAACTGAACTAGAACTGAACTAGAACTGAACTGAACTAGAACTGAACTAGAACTGAACTAGAACTGAACTAGAATTGAACTACAACTGAACTAGAACTGAACTAGAACTGAACTAGAACTGAACTAGAACTGAACTAGAACTGAACTAGAACTGAACTAGAACTGAACTAGAACTGAACTAAAACTGAACTAGAATTGAACTAGAACTGAACTAGAACTGAACTAGAACTGAACTAGAATTAAACTAGAACTGAACTCGAGCTGAACTTGATCTTAACCAATTTCATTATAACATTCCTTTCAGTGTAGTTTAAACCAACATCATATCTTGTATTTACTTAAAAAAGCCGTTAAAATAAAACAGCAAAGCAGACTACAAGAATTATTATTAAACTTATTAGCATTTTAAAGACATTTACAAGAATTATTATTAAACTTATTAGCATTTTAAAGACATTTACGCCTGCGCACACATCATCTACAAGCTGCGCAAACGTAAACAGCACCAACAAATACTCCTCAAGAACTTTTGAAAAGAAGAAGAAGAACAAAATCCATAAAGAGAAAAGTAAAAGAATGTTGTTGTTCTTACTTTACTGTTGTTTATTTGACTACAAGAACAAAAACAACAAAACACGAAAATGTAACTGGCTACACGAACTAACAACATAAATAAAGAACGACAATACACGAGACTTTCTTTAAGCTCTCCCTCATTCTTTCCCCTCTAAAGGGGTTTAAACACGTATGAGAGTGTGTGATCAAGTGGGGATAAACAAACAATTCTATACAAAACAAAATAAACAGCAACAACAAAGTCAAGTCCAAATCCCAGTAAACAAACATACACTCATAAATAAATAAATGAGCAGGCCAAGCACGTACTTGCAAGAACAAGCATTCTTTCTCTTCCATACAACAAAGCATACAATTTAGTTTCAATGATTAAAAATTCAAAGCCATGGTTAACTAAAACAGAGCTGCAACGTTTAACGTTGACTTTAATCAAACACAAAGATCAATTATGAATCGAAATGCGTAAAAACGTTTCTTTCGACGGCAGCAGCAGCAACACGTTGAAAGACTTTCGAAGAAAAGAAATGGACATTGCTGTTCAATGGAAACCAACGTTTACGTTTAGTTTTATTACAGACTTTCGCGTGAAAAGATGTTGGCAATTTTTTGAAACGGTTTAAAATTTGTTAAAAAGTATTGAACAAAAAAAAAAAAAAAAACAATCAATTAATATTCTTAACGGCAAAAAAGAAAGAGAAATGTTCTAAAAAACCCAAAAAAAAAAAGAAATTAATTTGAATAATTTAAAAACAAAAAAACTTAAAAGAAGACCTTTAAGCAGTGTGATTAATTTTCTAATAAATGTGTCAAAATCAAGCGTGAAATTGTTAATAATTTTTGAAAAAGTAATAACGAAACTAAATATACTCACCTAAACTAAAAATTGAATAACTTAAAAACAAATTACCTGAATTAAAATAAAAATAAAATTCTTAATTTAATATCATTTTCCGCAAAATACAATATTTCTAAAAAACAGCAACATTTATAAACCCCTACACCAAGAGTTGATAAAAAATCTGATATTACAGCCACACTAAGCCATTAAAAACTTTTTTATTAAACTAAACTAAAGTTTTACAGAAATCAACTAGAACTAAACTAAACATAAATTAAACTAGAACTTAGCTGGAATTAAACTAGAGCTAAACTTGAACTCTACAAGAACTGAAATGGAACTAAAAAAGAACTGAAATAGAACTAAACTAAATCTACAATAGAACCTTACTAGAACTGATCTAGAACTGAACTAAAACTGAAATAGAACAAAACTGAACTAGAATGAACTAGAAACTGAAAGAACAGAACTAGAACAGAACTAGAACAGAACTAGAAACAGAACCTAGAACAGGAACTTAAAGCAGAACTAGAACAGAACTAGAACAGACTAGAAAACGACAGAACTAGAACAGAACTAGAACAGAACTAGAACAGAACTAGAACAGAACCTAGAACCTAGAAACTAGAACAGAACTAGAACAGAACTAGAACAGAACTAGAACAGAACTAGAACAGAACTAGAACAGAACTAGAACAGAACTAGAACAGAACTAGAACAGAACTAGAAACAGAATAGAACAGAACTAGAAAGAACTAGAACAGAACTAGAACAGAACTAGAACCGACACTAGAACAGAACTAGAACAGAACTAGAACAGAACTAGAAACAGAACTAGAAACAGAAAATAGAACAGAACTAGAAAGAATAGAACAGAACTAGAACAGAACTAGAACAGAACTAGAACAGAACTAGACAGAACTAGAAACAGAACTAGAACAGAACTAGAACAGAACTAGACACAGAACTAGAACAGAACAGAACAGAACTAGAACAGGAACTAGAACAGAACTAGAACAGAACTAGAACAGAACTAGAACAGAACTAGAACAGAACTAGAACAGAACTAGAACAGAACTAGAACAGAACTAGAACAGAACTAGAACAGAACTAGAACAGAACTAGAACAGAACTAGAACAGAACTAGAACAGAACTAGAACAGAACTAGAACAGAACTAGAACAGAACTAAACGAACTAGAACAGAACTAGAACAGAACTAGAACAGAACTAGAACAGAACTAGAACAGAACTAGAACAGAACTAGAACAGAACTAGAACAGAACTAGAACAGAACTAGAACAGAACTAGAACAGAACTAGAACAGAACTAGAACAGAACTAGAACAGAACTAGAACAGAACTAGAACAGAACTAGAACAGAACTAGAACAGAACTAGAACTAGAACAGCTAGAACAGAACTAGAACAGAACTAGAACAGAACTAGAACAGAACTAGAACAGAACTAGAACAGAACTAGAACAGAACTAGAACAGAACTAGAACAGAACTAGAACAGAACTAGAACAGAACTAGAACAGAACTAGAACAGAACTAGAACAGAACTAGAACAGAACTAGAACAGAACTAGAACAGAACTAGAACAGAACTAGAACAGAACTAGAACAGAACTAGAACAGAACTAGAACAGAACTAGAACAGAACTAGAACAGAACTAGAACAGAACTAGAACAGAACTAGAACAGAACTAGAACAGAACTAGAACAGAACTAGAACAGAACTAGAACAGAACTAGAACAGAACTAGAACAGAACTAGAACAGAACTAGAACAGAACTAGAACAGAACTAGAACAGAACTAGAACAGAACTGAACAGAACTAGAACAGAACTAGAACAGAACTAAAGAACAGAACAGAACTAGAACAGAACTAGAACAGAACTAGAACTAGAACAGAACTAGAATAGAAGAATGTTCTGATGAAAGCTTTTTATACAACAATTAATCCCAACCTAGACTTAAGCTTTTACGATTATTGCCATTACAAACCCCTTGAAATCATTAACGGTATTTTTGTGTTTTTTTAATTTAACAGCTTTTAACTATGCATGTTTAGGAATTATTATACGAAGTGAGTGCATGTGAAATGAAAAAACAAAATTCTATAGCGTGACAACACAACCAAGAATTCCGCAAGCAATTAACAACATTTAAACTAAAGATTTTCTCAAAAATAATACATAATAACAAACATAATAACAAAATTATATAACAAACTCCTAACGTTACATTTAAACGTGTTTTAAACATTAACACCACAGAGTTCTTAAATTTTTAGTTAAGCCAACTAAAAACGTATTTGCAAAAACCACACAGTTATTATTCTTCGTTTTTTTTTTTGTTGTGAACAAAATGCTCCATTTACAACAAACTGTTTGTATTTTAATTGTTTCCTGTATTTGTTTAACAACAACAACGCTGGCACTAAATGAACGTGATGGAAATATTCTTCCTGGTAAATATCATGCTTACAGTCAACAGCAACAGCATCATCATACCAAAAAATTGCATGCTAAAGGCCTAGATTTGCCAACATCTCATCAAACCAAATTGGCAGCATCAACCCGACAAGAAAATCCCATCAAAACTTGGTTTGGTGTCTTTAATCGCAACAATTCAAACCACAATCAAACACTACCACTAATGGAGTAAATACTAATCCAGCTGCTGCGGCTGTGCCCAGGATACACTTTATGCAACAACATGTTCATGCAGGTAATTAAGTGTTAGTTTAAACTAAACGTTTTAATTAAGTAGTAGAGTGTAAAATTGACCAGACCACATTTTCCTTTAAGATTTTTTGTCAGTGTATTTTTATTTAATATGATGAGTTTAGGCCATAAAAAGAATTTTAAGAATAATGTGAACGTAATTGTCATACCAATTATTACTTTTTTTTATTTGTTTGTCATTTACATTTCTGTTTTTCTTATTTTTATTTCACCCACTTAATGTGTTTTGAATTTTAAGCGAAATTCTTGTCAACAAATAAAAAAAATTAAATACTTTTAAAGGCGTCTTTAAGACACTTAAAATTTCGTTTATATGTGATTTAGAATTAATCATAAAAAGTTTAGACAGTTTAGGGGGATTTAGTTGTAGTTTAAAATAGTTATAACAAATATTAACAATAATAAAACAATAAAAACAACAAATTGGAAATAGGTCAATTTTCGATTTTAAAGTAGGTTGGTTTTTATTTTAAAAGCATCTCAATAGAAAGTTTGAATACTAACTCCTTATAAATCCTTAGTTCAGCTTTAATAGGACATAAAATAAAGCTTTAGTTTAGCTTTAATGGTAACTTCGATAAGGCATTAGTGTAGCTTTGATTGGAACTTTATTTAGTAGTAGCATCTGCAGCCAAAGCTTTAATTTGGCTTTATTTAAGTTATACTTAAGCTTTACCTAGTCTAGTCTTAAGTCTAGTCTATAATGTAGTCCATAGTCACATCCATAGTCTAGTCCATATTCTAATCTATCAAATAAACCTCTAGTTTAGCTTTAATGGTAGCTTAGATAAGGCATTAGTCTTAACTTAATTTAATAGTAGCTTTTATAAAGCTTTGACAAAGTTTTAATTGCATTTGCTGTCAAAGCTTTAATTTGGCTTTAGTTAAGCTTCACTTAGTCTAGTCTATAGTCTAGTCTATAGTCTAGTCTAAAGTCTAGTCTATAGTCTAGTCTATAGTCTAGTCTATAGTCTAGTCTATAGTCTAGTCTATAGTCTAGTCTATAGTCTAGTCTAAAGTCTAGTCTAAAGTCTAGTCTATAGTCTAGTCTATAGTCTAGTCTATAGTCTAGTCTATAGTCTAGTCTATAGTCTAGTCTATAGTCTAGTCTATAGTCTAGTCTATAGTCTAGTCTATAGTCTAGTCTATAGTCTAGTCTATAGTCTAGTCTATAGTCTAGTCTATAGTCTAGTCTTAGTCTAGTCTATAGTCTAGTCTATAGTCTAGTCTATAGTCTAGTCTATAGTCTAGTCTATAGTCTAGTCTATAGTCTAGTCTATAGTCTAGTCTATAGTCTAGTCTATAGTCTAGTCTATAGTCTAGTCTATAATCTAGTCTATAGTCTAGTCTATAGTCTAGTCTATAGTCTAGTCTATAGTCTAGTCTATAGTCTAGTCTATAGTCTAGTCTATAGTCTAGTCTATAGTCTAGTCTATAGTCTAGTCTATAGTCTAGTCTATAGTCTAGTCTATAGTCTAGTCTATAGTCTAGTCTATAGTCTAGTCTATAGTCTAGTCTATAATCTAGTCTATAGTCTAGTCTATAGTCTAGTCTATAGTCTAGTCTATAGTCTAGTCTATAGTCTAGTCTATAGTCTAGTCTATAGTCTAGTCTATAGTCTAGTCTATAGTCTAGTCTATAGTCTAGTCTATAGTCTAGTCTATAGTCTAGTCTATAGTCTAGTCTATAGTCTAGTCTATAGTCTAGTCTATAGTCTAGTCTATAGTCTAGTCTATAGTCTAGTCTATAGTCTAGTCTATAGTCTAGTCTATAGTCTAGTCTATAGTCTAGTCTATAGTCTAGTCTATAGTCTAGTCTATAGTCTAGTCTATAGTCTAGTCTATAGTCTAGTCTATAGTCTAGTCTATAGTCTAGTCTATAGTCTAGTCTATAGTCTAGTCTATAGTCTAGTCTATAGTCTAGTCTATAGTCTAGTCTATAGTCTAGTCTATAGTCTAGTCTATAGTCTAGTCTATAGTCTAGTCTATAGTCTAGTCTATAGTCTAGTCTATAGTCTAGTCTATAGTCTAGTCTATAGTCTAGTCTATAGTCTAGTCTATAGTCTAGTCTATAGTCTAGTCTATAGTCTAGTCTATAGTCTAGTCTATAGTCTAGTCTATAGTCTAGTCTATAGTCTAGTCTATAGTCTAGTCTATAGTCTAGTCTATAGTCTAGTCTATAGTCTAGTCTATAGTCTAGTCTATAGTCTAGTCTATAGTCTAGTCTATAGTCTAGTCTATAGTCTAGTCTATAGTCTAGTCTATAGTCTAGTCTATAGTCTAGTCTATAGTCTAGTCTATAGTCTAGTCTACAGTCTAGTCTATAGTCTAGTCTATAGTCTAGTCTATAGTCTAGTCTATAGTCTAGTCTATAGTCTAGTCTATAGTCTAGTCTATAGTCTAGTCTATAGTCTAGTCTATAGTCTAGTCTATAGTCTAGTCTATAGTCTAGTCTATAGTCTAGTCTATAGTCTAGTCTATAGTCTAGTCTATAGTCTAGTCTATAGTCTAGTCTATAGTCTAGTCTATAGTCTAGTCTATAGTCTAGTCTATAGTCTAGTCTATAGTCTAGTCTATAGTCTAGTCTATAGTCTAGTCTATAGTCTAGTCTATAGTCTAGTCTATAGTCTAGTCTATAGTCTAGTCTATAGTCTAGTCTATAGTCTAGTCTATAGTCTAGTCTATAGTCTAGTCTATAGTCTAGTCTATAGTCTAGTCTATAGTCTAGTCTATAGTCTAGTCTATAGTCTAGTCTATAGTCTAGTCTATAGTCTAGTCTATAGTCTAGTCTATAGTCTAGTCTATAGTCTAGTCTATAGTCTAGTCTATAGTCTAGTCTATAGTCTAGTCTATAGTCTAGTCTATAGTCTAGTCTATAGTCTAGTCTATAGTCTAGTCTATAGTCTAGTCTATAGTCTAGTCTATAGTCTAGTCTATAGTCTAGTCTATAGTCTAGTCTATAGTCTAGTCTATAGTCTGGACTATAGTCTACGCTATAGTCTGGACTATGGTCTAGTCTATTGTCTGGACCATAGTCTATAGTCGGGACCATAGTCTATAGTCTGGACTATAGTCTAGTCTACAGTATGGACTATAGTCTAGTCTACAGTCTGGACTATAGTCTAGTCTATAGTCTGGTCTGTAGTCTAGTCTAAAGCCTGGACTATAGTCTAGTCTATAGCCTGTACTATAGTCTAGTATATAGCTCGACTATAGTCTAGTCTATGATATGAACTATAGTCTGAAATATAGTCTAGTCTATAGTATGGACTGTATTCTACACTATAATATCGATTAAAGTAGGATCTTGGTTTAGCTTTAGTAGTGGTTTATTAAAGAGTCATAGTTTTGCGTTAGTCGTGGTTAATTGTTGTGTTTGAGTTTAGCTTTTAACGTACATCATTTTAGAGTGTTAATTTTCTTTAATCTCAGCTTAATTTACAATCTCTAATCTCTATTTAAAAGTAAAAGTTATTAAAAAAAATTCACTTAGTTTATTATTTAAATCTCAGTTAACAATAATTAGGCTAATAATAATGGCAATGTTTTGTTTCTTAAATTAAATTAATTACAGCAGATAAAATGAAACACTTAACTTGTTTTACTTTAATACAAACTTTAAATTTCACAAACTTTAGTTTTAAACAAGAAACAATAAAACCAGTTTAAGATAAATTATTACCAATAAAATCCCATTAAATTGTTTTTAAAGAAACAAAAGAATTTCTTAAAAAAAAAATTAAAGAAGAAGATGCTGGTTAACAGCATGTTTCATTTTAAAACAAAATTGCAGAAAACAAAGTCCATTAATTTGAAACAGAGTTTTTTTTTTATAAAAGGAAGTGATTGTATTCGAAATGAAATGATCAACCTGGTTGTGTTTTTTTTTTTTGGAAAAATGAAATTTTTGCTTATTTTTTATATATACACTTTCAACCGATATTAGGTCATGTGAAGACAAAGAACATAAATTGTTTTATGTTTATTTAATCATTTTTTATCATTTGGGCCTTTTTAATGCTAATTTTATTTATTTTTTGAGGCCTTCTTTTGGCAAGAAGGAGAAATTTAAAAACAATGGTATGGAGATATAAAAGTGTTCAGATGATTACAACGACTTTAGGAGGAGCTACATAAGAAAATTTTTTAGGTAAGCTTTAAGCTTTAATCGTGAATCAGAGGAGAGAGCAAGTTTTAGCTCTTATTGTGAGACTTAATGAAGTATTAGTTAAGATTTCATTTCATCATAGAACTGAACTAGAACTGAACTGAACTAGAACTGAACTGAACTGAAGTAGAACTAGAACTAGAACTAGAACTGAACTAGAACTTAACTAGAACTGAACAAGAACTGAACTAGAACTGAACTAGAACTGAACTAGAACTGAACTAGAACTGAACTAGAACTGAACTAGAATGAACTAGAACTGAACTGAACTAGAACTGAACTAGAACTGAACTAGAACTGAACTAGAACTGAACTAGAACTGAACTAGAACTGAACTGAACTGAACTAGAACTGAACTAGAACTGAACTAGAACTGAACTGAATGACTAGAAACTGAACTAGAACTGAACTAGAACTGAACTAGAACTGAACTAGAACTGAACTAGAACTGAACTAGAACTGAACTAGAACTGAACTAGAACTGAACTAGAACTGAACTAGAACTGAACTAGAACTGAACTAGAACTGAACTAGAACTGAACTAGAACTGAACTAGAACTGAACTAGAACTGAACTAGAACTGAACTAGAACTGAACTGAACTGAACTAGAACTGAACTAGAACTGAACTAGAACTGAACTAGAACTGAACTAGAACTGAACTAGAACTGAACTAGAACTGAACTAGAACTGAACTAGAACTGAACTAGAACTGAACTAGAACTGAACTAGAACTGAACTAGAACTGAACTAGAACTGAACTAGAACTGAACTAGAACTGAACTAGAACTGAACTAGAACTGAACTAGAACTGAAC